ATAAATATTCATAGAATGCTCTCGATTAATCAGATTTTTCCATTTCTTTCCCATCACATGAATGCGAGGTTCTTACGTCACTAGCATGTGAACGTCAGCTTTCTACAAATTTGAATTCTCCATTTTGGATTGCAGAGCTTTCGTAACGATTGACTGTTGAAACCGTACACCGATTTTTTTCCTGGTTATTGGATGAAACATGTCCTGGCAAAGTTACGTGGACAACAGCCTCGTGGGTACAGGAAAAGTTCAGAAGGCAGCCATATTTGGCTTAGACGGTTCGCCTTGGGCTAGCAGCCCTGGATTCTCGGTAAGAAATCTGGTGAAATAAAAAGAGCAGAAATAGATTCAAAATCTCAAGCTTCAGTGATAACTTAACAGTTTTCTTACAGATGTGAAAATATGTTTGATAGGTATCTCAGCCAGAAGCGCAAGAGATGATAAAGAGCCTTAAGGATGGTAGCGTCTCAGGCAAGAACATTGCTGGAACGAAATACATGATGCTGCGGAACGACAAGGACAAGAAAGCGGCGTACTTGAAAATGAAAGACAAAGGAGGCTTTTGCGCGTGTTTGACCAACAAGGCTCTCATTCTTGGTGGCTACGATGAAAGTGCTGGCGGTGCTGGAAATTGCAATCAGTGTGTGGAAACCGTAGCAGAACATCTCATTGCTTCAGGATTTTAATGTTTGAGTAGAACCTTAAAACACAATCTAAGGCAAAGAACACATATAGTGGTATTTGGTAATGGTTTTTGTTCCTATGACCTTAGCTCAGAGATTTACACACCTTTAAGCAAGATGTTTAGAACAATTTTCTCTAGAAGCACTGTAAGTTTTCATGTTCCGTTTAAGACGTTTTCATTTGTTTAACGGATAGATTGTGCTAACTGTTGGCTAAAGCTTTGAAAGAAGTAAAGCTTTCTGATGTATGAATCTCTACTTGTTTTGCCTAGTAATATTTCACGGGAGAGTCAATTTCTGTGACTCAATTTCGTCTATAACGAAGTTTACCAGCGGATTTTTAAATTTCCCATCTTTAGTCTCAAGTGCAATGTTGATAACGATTCGTTTCAACTTACCCGAATCAAAAGTTCTTCAATCAAACCATACCCAGAACGGGTTCAAACTGGGGTTGTGCGTTTCCAAGAGCATCCATTTTTCTCATGGGGAAAGATTCACACAGATCGTGGAAAACCCTTCAATTCATGGAATCCTGCAAAGTGCTAATTGGGCCTGGAAAGTCTTGAAATTTGGAAACGAGTTACAGGAAGTCAGATAAGGTGAATAAAGGTCATACTCTTTCAAGAACGAAAGAGAAAAAAAATGCTGTAATCTTAAAATCATTATCACTTCAATTTGAAAACAACTTTTCAGTCATAGGTTATGGAAATCTCATTAGTCAAGAAAGTTTTGGAATTCATGGTCTTGACAGAGTAGAAACTTCATAAGACTTTCTTTTTGAATCACAGGTGAGCCAGCTTCCTTGACTCCCTCCTAGCCCAACCATTAGTTTAGCCAGCTCTGTTTGCTGTTCCAAAGTTACCTAAGACTGATGTGTTGTGCCTGAAGACAAAACACCTTATTTATAACGCTTCCTCAATATGCTTACCAAAAGATTGGAAAGCTCTTTAACATGTCAGAATCTGAGGGTCTTTGACCACACCCAAGAGACATGGGTTTGTTAGCCTGGATTAAAGTCACAACAGCCTAAGGTTGATGAATACTAAATTCCTTTTCATAGTAGCAATAAAGGCATCCAGGACAGTAGAATTTTGATGTCAGGTATGGTGAATATTTGGTGCAACTCCTTGGAAATGGACCATGTTAAGCAAAACATCTAGTGCAGATTACCTTGCTGGTTCTTTAGCAAATTTTAACTTCCTGTGCCAATTTCTCCAAGTTTCATTGACAGTTAGCAGATCCTAATGTTATAACTTTGGACAGGGGATATAGTAAGATCAGTATTTTTCACAAGAAAACATTTTTGACCCATGCACATACATAAAGTTCGGAATCCTCAAATGAGACATGAACTGTAATTCCACTAAAAAGGCAGTTGCATAGAAAACCAAGAATAGTATTAGTAGATGACTAAACATGAATGGATGGTTCTCTTATTTCAATCATTCACCACTGTGAATATGCACTTGTAATCAAAACAGAACCAGGAGTAGTGTTCAAAGATGACTAAACATGAATGGATGGTTCTTTTATTTCAATCATTCACCACTGTGAATATGCACTTGTAATCAAAACAGAACCAGGAGTAGTGTTCCAAGATGACTAAACATGAATGGACGGTTCTTTTGTTTCAATCATTTACCACTGTGAATATGCACTTGTAATTAAAAAAAAAAAAAAAAAAGGCATTTATAATAAGGAACTACTCTAAACATAATTCGGTACAAGTACATGTGTTAAATTAAAATTTTCAAGGTAATAAATTCCTCTTAATTATATACAACAACTTAAGGACTTCAGTTCATGGGAAGCAAATTCAATTGAGAAGTTCAATGCAATGTTTTGTGTTATCTTCAGGCAACTTTAAAATGAATGATTACATAAAGTCCATTGATTAAATGCTTAAATCTTCTAAGCTTATCTACAAATATGCACATACACAAATTGACAGGTGTCAATACAAGTTGAAATATCTCATATAAATCTATATCCTCACTCCTACAACAGTCCGAGAACAATTCCTTCTGTGTTTGAAATTATGTCTTGCAGGAAAGAAAAAGCTGCTATCAAACCATAACAGATTAATGCACAAGTACTGTCATATTCTTTGGTTAAAGTGAAACAAGAAATCAAACATTGGTTGCCCTATGTCAAGTTTAATTTCTAAAAATTAAGCAGTTCATTAAACCAATTCTGCTCTATCCTCTTTTTTTGAATATAATAAAATGTAAGTACATAAAATCAAATATTTGATTTCTTAGTCATTCTCGAGCAGGAGAATAGAATACCAAAGCCAGTTGTGACTTATTCTATTCCTGGCATCAGTGCAGTTCTAAGCAAAAAGTTATTTAGATAAACAAGCTCCTACTGATTAGTATCAGTCTACCAGTGGAAAAAAAACTATTGAAAATGTTTGCACATAAGATTACATTAAAACAGGAACATATGTAACCCCCTTTTTTAAACAGCTTAGTTAAATTCACAATCACAAAAACTAACATAACAAGGTAACAGCTCTGAGTGGGAAAACTAGTTTGAGTTTTGCTGAGGTCTTATTTACATTCAGAGATACTAAGAGCAAGTCCTAACTTAACATGTAACCTCTCCCTTCAATATCCATACATTATGCAGAGAATGGGTAATGAGAATACTCAAACCTATCAGGAAGCTGTTATCTTAATCTGATACCAAATTCCCATAACTAATTTTCCAGAAAAATTTCATTTGCTAGAAGGGAGCATTAACAATTGGATCTCAGGAGTTAAAGGGTTAAAATAAGAAATAACATGTTGCATGCCAGTGGATAGACATCTGAATCAAACAACCACATACAACTTGATGTACCTACCAACTACAATTGCTTATAGAAGAAAGTAAGATTTTGTAGATCAGTCTTGCCTTGCAATTTCATTGTTTGAAACTTTCAGCTCACATTCACCTCACAAGCAGGATTCAACATGAAGATCCTGTTTGTTGATTTATCGATGGTTATTCAAAAAGAGTTCAGAAAAAGTAAATGTACACTCAGTCTGGTTTCTCTATGAGCTGTTTATGACTAGACCGTCATTGTAACAGAATTTCTACGTTGGGATGTCCCTGAGATGAGTGGAGTTGTTTCATCAGCCTCAGCCTCAGCCTCATAACTTGTTTCACCCACGGATTCCAAATCAGTTCTCCCAGATCTGCTTCTTGCCAACCCCCTGTTGTTTGCTACTGGTCTTTTACAGACAGGACAAGTTCTTTTCCCTTCTGTGAGCCAGGGATCCACACACTTACAGTGGTAAGCTTCCAGGAAATAAAATAAAATAATTGTTGTAATTACAAGATAACATGTATGCTGTAAATATAATATAAATTAATCATAAGCAATGAGTAATGGTTTTCATTTAATGAACTGAGGCAATTTTAAAAACTTCACTTGTTTTTAATCTTCACCTTGTTGTGAAACCCAAATACATTATATTTAGCTTTGTGCCTCTTAAATTAGGGATCACAAAAGTCCACAAAATGCAGTCAAAGCCTCAGCAAATACCTTCCCTCCTACTTTTGTGTCCTATACCCCCTCTCCCAAGCATCATTTATACACTTACATTGTAACCCTTCAACTCCCATGAATGACCAAACAAAATTTCTCCTTACAATAACAATACAGCTAACTGATGAGCGATATCAATTAGATGACTATTAGTTGATCCAATACCAAATTCTCCAAGCTAACATCCTAAGAACTGTGTGACACACATTAAGGAGAATTACTTATGAGAACTTGGGAGTTAAAGGGTTCAGTGATAGAGGTTGAAAGTGCATACCATGCTCACAAGGAAGTATCCGCAACCTATCACCATCCTTGTACTCATCCAAACAAATGGCACAAACATCATAATAATCTTCTCCTAAATCATTTAAACAAACAACATGTGAATAGATATTTGACTGGTTAAGTGACCACGTGACCACATGACCACGTAGCAGGAGTGGGACAACCAAAAGACAAAGAAACAGAGCACTAGCAAAGAAATGGCATAAATTTAATTTGGTATGAGCTCAAAGTACTTTAATATGTAAATTAAGTGGCTGGTGGCCGTGGAGAGGACTGGAACTCAAATCCACCAGATCTCATATCTGATTCCTACAATGGTAAACCACTATTACCAGCATACTGTCTCAATAAAATAAGATGGTAATCCACTGCAAACAGCACCTCTCTTTAGAATTCAATTAAAAGGAGATGAGGCCATCACATTTCTTGAAATAAACTAATTATTGTGCACTGTACATTTGTAATTACCTTTCTTAAATTTTTTCGTCGGTATCTTTTTCAAAGTTGATGGAGATAACCTGTTGCGCCTTTGTTCTAGGTAATGTCTGTAGTAGCGACTGATCTGTTCAAAAATCACAGATTTTTTTGTAATATTACAACATATTATATCATCAAGATAATAGGCCCCTCTGTTCAGATACTACAATCAAATTGTTTATGTTAAGGTATTTAACCCTTTCACTACCTGTAATGATCAAGACATAATTTTTCCTTACAGTACCAGTACAGTATCAAGAAGACAAGAGATGAGAATGGTAAAATATGTTAACTTAAGGATTATCAATAGATTCAACACCAAATTCTCAGAATGAACTTTATGAGAAGTGTATGGCCGACTTTACAGAAAATTTTTAATGAGATATTAGGAGTGAAAGTGTTTAAGTAATGGAAAGTTGACGATTGGCATTAACAGCTCCTACTCTTGGCTGTTTCTGAAACATATTGGCTCAGAAGGGAGGGATGTACATGCATTACGTCCTTTGTCAGTGTGCTATCATATGGTACATAAAACAGACATGATTAGGGAACAAATTTGAGCCAGGGAGGTAAAAAGAAGATTACTTTGTTCTAAATGTCCAAGTGTGAAATTTACTCTCAAGTAAGGTGATTTCAAAAATAACAATACTACAAAAATGATTTCTCAGTGAAACTGTTGTTACCTCAGATACAACCACTAAAACCAATAGATGAACAAAAATTCTTTTGGAATATCTCATGCAACCTTATCCAAACTGAAGGAAAATATATTATTCTTTTGTCTTCATTATAATTGTCCTCTTTGCATCACTCCAAGCTTAAAACATTTTTTTAATTCAGAAGGAGTGATGGAAGTAAAGAGGGAAAATTAGCATACACAAATAATTATAAAGGTATTAGGATAAAAAAAATAAAAACTGTTATCACTATGGAATAGGGTCTGGGTGGCACACTCACCATA